AATAGCTATGTAATATATTAAAATCAAAATAAAATATAATAAATACAATATAAATAATAACTATAATAAATATATACAATATGAGAACGGAAACTAAATTTAAAAATAAAATTGTCTTTATACTTAAGTTTGCAAAAGCTTTATTCTTTAATAGCAAACGTTCCTGCAAATAATGTTTTCTAATTTTGTACACTTTTCGAAATTAATGTTTTATAATTTAGTTATATCGGTTTAATTTCAGATGCCACCAATAATCACTGTAACTAATTAATAGAAAGATACCTTACGTTATCGAAAATAATAAATAATAAACATCTAAGTTTAAGTAATTTAAATAAAAATTTCCTTTTCTCAATAATCTCATAAAGATGTAATTTTTAGCATTTAAATGCCGGCAGGATCAGGCTAAAATCACGTAGCTCGAAATCATTTAATCCTCTGATTTCTACAGCTTTACGTACACGCGAAATGGAAGGTATTAAATTCTAAACAGTACTTTGAGAATTTGCACATTGCTCGATAATGGATGCAAGAGGAATTAATCGCGCTATGAACTCGACAAAGGAATTTATGAACAACTTGTGACTACGTAATTAAAGAAACTCGAAGCAACTTTGTATTACCGAATCATAATAGGGATTACAAGGGAAGCTCGCGAAGTACACAATACAAAAGAAACGAGTAATTGTTCTCTGTGCTTTCTTATTCAGGAAACAAGGAGATATTACAAACTTAAGGCTATTGTTAATTATAAATATTATGATTAAATATTTTTAAATATTAAACTATTGCTAAATTCATTTACTTTAATCATCAACTTTTAATAGTGAAATTTTTAATTGGGAATATCTACCTTTGCTAATTAAAGTTACTAATTAAATTACTAATTAAAATTCAAATTGCAAGTTTGAACCAAGTTATAAGAAACTGGTATGTACTACGAATTAGTTTATTTAAAGGAACGACAATTTTATTGTTCGATAATTCGTTAATGTAAGAAATATTATTAATATAGTTTAAGAAATTAAAATTGTAGTATTCTAACATTTATAATTTATAAACTAAGAATTTGGAATTCATTACACGATATACAAGAAAAATACATATGAAGGTACTTTAAATATAGTTCATAGAATGTTAGTTAGTTATTTGCAGTAGAAAGACTTTTCTAACTATAAGACGGACGATGCTATAAAGTCTTCTAAGAAATTTACCTTACACTTCAGACATTTTATAGCGACGAAATGAAAAAGCTTGTATCATCTTAGAAACACTGTATAGGGTGATCCATTTGAATCAATTTACTCGAACATCTTCGAAATTGTTGGTGACATCAAAATATATTTCGAATAAAAATTGCACGGTTTAACATAATTTGATATGAGTAGGAAGTACATAAAAATCAATTTTGTTTTCTTAATCCTCTGCAATTCGAATTTCATGCTATTCGAGGAAAGATTTAGTTGATTATGTTTCTTAATTGCAGCTTAATTACATTTAATTATTATATTTAGTTATTTAATTATTTAGTTAATTATAGTTAATTAATTGTATTAAAATTAGCAACAAATATAAGCATCGGTGACTGTTATAAAAAAAATAGTTTGCTTCGATATAATAGCATGCTAATAAAATATCATAGCATAGAAATAAGTAAATAAAGCGATGATATGGTAAATAAAAATATAAATATATATAACTCGATTATATATAATAATAAATCAGAAACATAGCTGCAAAATCTTACGTTTGAAAATAACTAATAAATATCTTCTGTCGGAGAATCTTATGCACACAGATTTTCATTTTTCATTTTATTTGTAAAATATAACAATTATTTTATAATTAATGAATAATTTGTGTCAAATTGATATCATCGCATAGCTATCATTATAAAAGATTAAATGGATCCATATATTTTTTAATACATCAATTAATGCAATTCCCTAGCTAAAGTTACTACACCTTCTATAGACCAAAATCATTAGTTTAGAAAATATTTTAGTTTTGATATCAAGTATTAGTACTCAATTTCGTTGTAGCTAATATAGTTTAATTTAAACGTGTCACCCTATATATTTCTATTAAATAAGTTCGTTCCAAGAAAAGTTGTACAGCTTTGAATATCATTATTAAAAGCTCATTTTACTTTCAGACCTGATATAACGATATAGGATGAGACAGAGGGTTTCCTTTGTTTTCATAGGGAGAAATTAGAGAGTCTGTATCCCTATTGGAACAACGTTCCACCATCTTTGCGTAAATTCGCGTTGGATTGAGCAAACTTTGTTGGGACGTCAATGGATACGAACAGAAATGAACTGTCGTAATAGGAACAACAGGTACTCGTAAAACCTAAAGAGAATAGATTGATGGAATGCTGCCACTTTAACGAAGATATCTTGATTGTTAAGGTTAAATACAGATACTATAATATTTAACAATTCGTTTTTTGTATCAATGTATTATACAAAATTTTATATTCTAATTGAAACGTAGAAAAATATATTTCATAAGAAAAATGGAAAATTATGCGAATGATGCGAAATTGGAAATTTTTATTTCATTCGTTTATGTTTCATATTACATAAAATTCCATTCAGTTTCAATTATTTCTAAAATTCTAAAAGGTTCGTAGCTTAATAGAATCTACGAAACAAATAAAATAAACAAAAAAGAGTAAATATTAAAAAATTAATTTTTAAAACACTAAAAGGGCGAATTAGTGCTGACCTATCCTCTTTTAAAATATTTAGACACTTTTAAACAATTGTCTTGTTTTGAAAATTATTTACAATTTTGTGTTGATAGAATAAGTAACAAATTATTATTACAATGAGAAAATAAGAATAACATTTATAATAAAATGTTAATAGAAAACTAATAAAATAAGTATGAATGTAACAATTTTGTCACTTATTTTTCATTAATTTAATTTTATTTTCATTTATTTAAACATAATAAAATGCCAAAATAAATAATAAAAAGCAATATATAAAAATTCATGTAAGTGTATTTTTACAAATTTGTCTATTTTGTAATTTCAAATCAAAATACATAAAAAATAATATTATCATTTCCAAAATTGTCAATAATTGTGTTTTAGATAATTTCGAGAAGCTAATCGTTATTATGACACAATTTTTACAGAATATTATTCTTTCTGTCTCAAAAGAAGAAATTAGCACTGATGCATGTCATTTTCTCGAAAAAATGCTTTCAAATATTTAGAAGAATTATAATCGAATAGTTGGGAAAATAATTAATAAAATAATAAAGAATATATTTAAGCAGCTATTTGAAAAAATTCTAACATTCGCTAAATTCTAATACCCGAAAAACTCTGTATGAAGATCTCATCGTCAATTTGAAGAATTCAGGGCTGATGATCGTTAATTGGAGGACAGGCCAAAGGGAAAGCCACAAAGTACCACCCTTAATAACAAGGACAGCAGATCATAAGGGAGACAATTAAAAACAATCCACATGAAAGACAATATATCAATTGAAGCTCTATCATGTATATGTAATTAGTCATCACTCGCTGCAAATATCATGGAAAATATAGTCATTGAAAAAATTAATCTTACATTAGCCAAGAACCATCTTATACTCAATATAATAAAGAATTTTGCAAACGCTTCAATTCTTGTATTTTCCATGTATGGTACCACGTAGAAATTATTTTACTTCAATGCAAATATTGTGTAAATATAAATATATTTGGTCTACAGGTGACCAAAATTTCACCAGAAAAGACCCTAGAAAACTCACGTATACAATAAATATTTCAAATCCAATAATGTTCGATAAATATTACAATAAATATTTCCAAACCACCAAAAATATGCGTGTAAAATTTCTCCTGAAGTTTATTTAATGATTTCATATATACCATTGAAATAAATATTCCAAAATTTCTACACGCGTTTAAAATTTCGCCAAAAAGATACGTTAAAACTTGCATTCACGTAAAAAGGCGCCAAAAATTGTACACCTCCCTCTAATAACTGCTTAAGAATTTCTAAACACGTTTGAATCTTCACCAAAAAATCTCTCGAACCTAACACTCGCCTAAAATAATCATAAAAATTATACAATTTATATATATTTTTAATTTTATTTACAACTATGCTAAAAGTCTCCTCGAGACATTCACATAAGCACGTTAGTACTTGAAAAATCTCTAATCCCGTTTAAAATATCTAAAACCTTCTGAGAGTTTCGCAAAATTACAACAAATGTCGACAAATTTTACAGCTTCTGCATGTCTAAACTTTCTCCAAAAGAATCCTCGAGAGTTGCACACCACTCTGACACAAGCCTTCTATCCAAAATTTCAGCCGAGATCCCCAGAAACCTCGTACATACAGCAAAAATAGCCTACCGTGGTACATAATAAACGAAAACGACGATAGGATTCAAAGACACTAGGTAACCGATATAATTGACAAGTTTATCAAGTCTGCCAAGTTTGCCAAGTATAAATTCGAAAAAGATTTTACAGGACTCACCGAGCAACTTGAAAAGGAATGGAAGCGTGTCTGATGAATCCCTGATCCGGTTCACCGAAGGGAGTGCGATTTTGAAATTCAAGAGAGTCCGGCGATACGACAGTGCCGATGAGAAATGGGAGGTATAGAGAGTGTCTTCGTATATATAGGGGTTGGATCGGTCCGTCAGGGGTAGGAGAGCGTAGGCGCGAGCACAGGTGACTAACACGCGGTCTCTTCCAGCGCAAGCGTTCTTCCTCCTCTGCTACTCTGCTTCCTCTTCCTCGAGCACGAGGAACTTGCAATTCCCTCGCTTCCCTCATCGCATGACTTTTCAGTAGTTCTCTACGATCGATTTGCAGTTTGTACCCGATTGCTCTCGATCAAAGACTGGGGGCCTTTGCGCGACGAGAGTTTTAAATTCAAAGCCTCGATCGAAACGGGTTCAAAGATCTATCGTGCATTTAGGTTGTTGATCAGAGTTGATGATACATCGCAGACACTAAGATGAATGTCGTCGAGGATGACGATGATGAGTCGAAGATCAAGGTTTGGAGTACCTGAGTGACTTTGAGATTGTGCTATGAGATATTTAGGAATTAGGTTGAATAAAGTTGTTGAATAAAGGGTGATGAGAAAGAATAAGGAGAATGATCTTTTAAGAAATTTTGTAGGGGATCTGAAGATATTGAAAGATATTGGAACCTGTTTTTATATAAAAAGAATGTAAATTAATAATTATATAAAATTTAATAATAATTGTATAAAAAGAATGTAAATAAATAAAT